CGGCTCTCACCGAGCTGTTCAATTGTCGCTATTGTTTTCCAAAACATCACAGGAAAAGGTGTACAGCTCTTATATCAGACAGACATCACAAGTATTCGGATTATCACCACGACAAAAATCTCTTGAAACTCTTAATGTAAGTAGTTAACAGACCAGGCAGATGCTAGCTATTGCCCAAAGATTTGCCGKGATCGGCAATGGAACACAATTGAAGGCCATCGAACATTACACTCGAACGTTCTATATTTTCGTTCTTGGTGATATAAAAGTTTACAAATGAATTTGATATTGGTTATCAAAACATTATCAATCTAAATATAGTGAATGTTTAATAACAATTGAAGAGGATAAATGACAATCCGTATAAAATTGATTAAATACTGAAAAATCAGCAATCTTTGGGGTTTTATTGCAAAGCTATAATAAGGCGAATAAGAGTAATTAATATGTAAGAATACATTTTAAATTATCTAAACATTTTATCGAAGAAAACGTTCGAGAATTTATCATGAGTTTCATATAAGTCGACAGATACAGAAGCTGATGTATTTGACTACAGCTAAATCAAAGCTCTAAGRACTCCATGTCGTGGATGAAAATTCCTTTTCTGAATCTTTCTGATGGATATGTTTACTGCAGGCAGGGAAACAGGGCGCCCCGCGTCAGGCCCCCACGGGAAGAATGATCAACCATCACAATAGGTTCCTTGGAATCGCCGCCTGGTGTGTATGTATAAGCAACGCATTGGTTGATCGCCACTTGATGCTTCCAGTTCCTTGAAGCTCATACAGCTAATTAAGAAAATGTTGAATACTTAAGATAGTGTATTCCAAGATCGAAATGCATTGTGGGTCTTTCTATCACCGTTCAAAAGGAGTTTCCATGGTTTCAGAGTGCATGCCAGGTCAAYGTTGTGATCAATTATGGCCTGAGTCACAGTCCTGGACTGCCTATTTTTTCTCATCAGAGTTTATAGTAGAGGGGATTACTAAATTAGAATATTGTAACTCTTTTTCAACTCCTCGCGGTTGAATTCAGCAAAGGAAGCCCAAAGTCCCACACACTTTTATGTTGCAGGAAACTATAGTTTCTATAATTATCACGAAGAAACTTTATATAGAATGAGAACTTGATTCTCAAGGTTTAGATGTTATTTGAAGTATTTTCTATTCAGCTCATGAAAGAAAGCGGAACTTTTTGTTCCCGGGGTTACAAACAAATGCGCGCGTCCCTCGTTCTGATTGGTTCCTCGTTTGTACATAATGCATGTAAGCAAGCAGTTTGAATAGCGGCGGGCTGAACTTCACACCATGTAAAACTCTCTCCACAATAATATACTTCTCTCGTAGTTTAGATCTCTTTTCTCCCTCTCCTGTCTTGTGGAAGTATTTCCAAGTCTCTGGTAATCTTCTTAAGTCCTCAYAATTGGTAAACKTCAGATATTTTAGAAGGAAACGAACGAGTTTGAACCTCATCCAAAATGGCCGCGATTCGTTCAAGAGCTGAGAGTTTTACCCTTGATTTACCGAATGCTCCAATGGATGTTGTCCCTAGCGCTGTCCTTTCGCCAATAACAGAGTTATCAATGAATCTTGAACACAATTCAATCAGGTTTGACAATTATTTTTTCTTATTTGAGCTCATAGTCAGTTAGGATTGTCTTTGGTGTTGTTTTCCCGCGTGCAAAACGAAAGCGCAGACGACACCAAATATTCTTGTTACTGCTGACAACAAAGCCTTTTTTTMAATAGCATGGGAAGAACACCGAAAAGGAAGCTATCTTTATGTAATTTTGGGACCCCAAACACGCCAAATCCATCACCATTGTTTCAACGAACGCTGTCCAACGAATCTGGTATGAAATCAACCGTGCATCCGTGGTCTTGTTTGTCTAGAGAAAACTTAAGCTTAATGCTTAGTTTTTATTTCTATCATTTCAGGATATTTCCCTTCATCTCCAGTTGGGCCAGCCTTCGATTCACCAACTTTAGAAGTGCTAAAGTAAGTGTTTTTATGCCTGATGCAAAACTTTTCATGTTTGCATGACTTTGACCTTGAAGCCCAACACCGCAACATTTAGAATGTGGTGGGGACTGCATTCTTCACTCGATTTTAATATCCAATATGTGAAATCGTTTTATGCCTGTAATTTTCTAGTTTTTATGCTAGAAAAAGTCGTTTTGAATTTATCTATTTTTGAATACATATATTATGTAGTTGTTGATTTCATTGTGGAATATATTACGATCTAAATCATATTGTTAATTTCATTAAAAAACGTTTTTTTCTCTCAAGTTCTAACTTTATTGTGACTTTGAACGCAATTTCGATAAATTAATGGCTGAGGTTCTGCGTATAAAATACATACTGAATTTCAAAATTTACTCTAGATCATCGTCGGGTAATGCAGAAGAAAGGCGGAAACAGTTCCATCTGAGGTAAACGAATAATTAACTTGCGCAGAACAGTTTTGTGAACCGTATTTCATTGAAAAGTCGCTCATTTTGTGACTTGCGGTAAAAATTTCTTGTTTATAATTTCGAAATTCGCGCTATTGAGAATACAATACCCCCTTGATGACATGGTAAATGAGCAAGTCAAGAAGTTTTTGTGTAGTAGCCATGTGCAGTACCATGTGCTTCAACCACATGTTTCTTTGATATTTAAATTTTAAAGATTTTTTATAGGACCCTTTTTTTTGAAAAAACGCACAAACATGTGAGTAAAATAGATAACCTACAACCTTCACTCTGAAATATTACTTGTACATTATTGATAAATCCAMAGTGACAGGGATTATAAGTTGGAAAGTTATTTCCATGAGTATTCACCATCACATTGTTTTCTTTCAGCAAACCCCTATTCAAAAGGTGGAATTCTTCTCCTGTGAGTATTAAAAATAAAGAGACATRATTAAACTGCTTCTTTGAATAAAACATTGACTGATTTGAATGACTTGCAAGACTTGAAATATTGTGATGAAATCCCATACTGTAATTCTAGGCTGGTACAGGAGAAGACAGCTACAGCAACAAAGAAAACATTCCAAGTAGTTCAGAATCATCTTCAGAAGACTTGAAGAACAARGATGAATTTGTCTTCACMAGACCCAGAGTTCCGTCATTTGTTCGCAGATTCTCTGTTCCTGCTCGACCTGGAGGACGGCCATTACCTCAACGCTYCCTGTCAGACCCATTYTCAGAGGTATCTYTTCTCTTTACTTTTTRATACTGCTGTTGTTTTGATTTGAAATCTTTCTTAAAAGTAGAGTATCAAAAACTATTTGAGGAAATTGTTAGATGGATATATTTACAAAAGTAAGCCATAAGATGAAGTGGACTGTAAGAATTCCAGGCACCTTTATGATATGGCTTCCTTTTGTAAACATATCATGATTATATAATGTTGAATTTGATAATAGTAATGAATAAATATTATCATTAGGTGATTGATAGTTGTCAATCATTCACAGTTGAWTTATAAAAAGAATACCATCAGTCGCAGTAGTGTTTTATCTTTGTTAATATCATCAGCATGACAACTATTTCTTGTTCAACGGATAAGCAAACTATCTTTGCTATCTAATGATAATTGTTTATAAAGGGTGGGAGGGACACCATGAGGGTTAGATGACAATTTTCTACTAAATGGTAAGTATTAATAATAATAATTGTTATTTGTAAATATCATATTATTTTTAGATGTCAATTGATCACCAACTATCTGTTGTTTCTCCATCAAAGTTATCAGACAGCCAAGACAGTGCATGTGATRTAGACTTTGATGACGAAAGTGGTGACGATGGCTTTATTGATGACATGGTTTATGCACATAAGGTATTGACTAACAGATGAATAACTACTTAAACAATAGACATATAGCAACTATGTAACCACATACA